CATGGAGGAAATGATTCCTCTGTGTTGACCCTCCTTCTTGTAGACTGGACACTGGTTCAAGTCCATCTCGTGGGGTCTCCTCGTCCTCCTTGATTAAGAGGACAGGTGACCCACCACAATTACAGGACATTTTGAGAGATGCTCATAGTCCCCTGGAACTAGTCGACCTAGGAGGGCAAGGAGCAAAAACTGTCCTTCATGTCCCTCTGACCAAATTATCATAGGCCTCAAAGTATGTGTTAAACATCCAAGAAGGTTAGTTCCACCAGTCTGGTACTTTTAATTACTGTGTGTCACGTAGATAAATCTTGGGCAAAGACCAATTATTCTCAGATAAACCTTACCTAGACATATATTTCTTGATCTGCTATGTATAATTTGTCAGTAGGTTGTAGGAGTAATATGGTTCCCTTTGGCTTTCAAAACTAGCTAGGCATTATTTATCTCTTGCATCGTCTCACCCCTCCATCATGGTTTTCCCACTTAAGCTGCTCCCATTTCCCCCCTTTTTCCCTTAATAATACCCTTCTCTTACAGTCCTCTGGCTATTTATTTTTGAAATGGGGTCTTTCACTGTACCTAGAGCTAATATTGACTAGATAGGGTAGCCAGCATACCCCATGCCCCAGTAACCCTCCTGCCTCTGCCTCCCAGCCCTGGTATTGTAGACTTGCCACCACACCCTGTTTTTCACATGAGTGCTGGGGTTTGAATTCATGTCCTTATACTTGCACAGCAAGCACTTTCCCCACTCAGGCATCTCCCCAGCCCTCAAAGCAAACATCGTATTTCCTTCCCAAAGCTAAGCTCTAGGATACAGCCATCCCATTGTAGGATAAGAATTTCCTTTTAGATCTCACCACTTTGCCAAGTGACCATCTAAGCTGCTGGCTACACTCCTGGACAGTTTCAGGGTCCCCTCCAAGGTGGGTGGGCTCCTCACATAGGACAGCTAGTGTCAGCCTTCTACAAAGTAAGCAGCTTGCCCTCACAGAAGGGTTTTGCCTGAGCTCCATCTAAGCACTGTAATTCTTAGGTGGCACAGCAAGATGGATGTGAAATATTAAAAGCATGCCACCTCTGTTTCAAGCCTGTGTTGTTTTCTTTAATTTTTAAAAATTATCTTTCATCGCACCGGCACACGGCGAGGAGAGAGTTTACATTGCTACATTCTGGCTCTCATCTAAAATACTTGATGTAAAACAGTAATAAATTACTTAATTTTTTTCAATTGGATTAATATTAGAATTCTTACTTCTCTTTACCCACGGGGGAGTCAAAAAGAAAGAACCTGATAACCTCAAAAAGTCAACCTCATGCCGAAATCAGCAAGATGAGTTTAATGGTTTTCTGTCAGAATATTTGCTAATGATTCTCATTTACTTTTTTGCAAAGGCCACATTCTTCATCCTCTTGAGTTGACAGCTAGGGTGCCCTGGAAATCAAAATAGGGTATGTCTGGGTAGCTCCTTCAGATTAACATAGGGACATACTTAAAAGGAAATAAAAGGTGTGATCAGTGTGGGGACTTTAGGGGCCTCTCCTCCTGGAAATTGCTTACAAGGCAATTGTCCACTGAAGCAACATTTTGTTCACATTAAATATTTTCCTTCAGGGGTCTGGGGTTGTAGCTCAGTTGGTAGGGCTTCCCTGGCCAACATGAAGCCCTGCATTCCATCCCCAGCATCACATAAACCCAGGACGGTGGTACATGACTGCAATCCCAGCACTCAGGAGGTGGAGGTAGGAGAATCAGAAGTTCAAAGTCATCCTTGGCTACATATGGAATTCAAGGCCAGCCTGGAGTACATGAGACCCTATCTCAAAAAA